TTTATTTTTAGTATTTCCTTTTTATTTTTCCTTACTAAGGTTGCCTAGAAGAGACGCTTGTTAGCGATAAGTCCGCCCGTTGCCTCTTTGCCTCCTGTTTCTCTCAGTAATGCAAAGTGTTAATAAGTAAAATAAATATTTTAAGAACCACATCTCACTATTCACGCGTATTTTAAATACGTACATTAAGTATATACAGATACACAAATAATAAAAATATTTTTTTAAATTTAGTTATGCACATTCCTGATTCCCCTTAGTATTTCTTTCTTCCTTACTAAAGTTGCCTGGAAGAGAAGCTTCCTCCCGTTGTCTCCTTAGTTTATGTTATCTGAATGTATATATATATAATGTTCTTAATATGTTATAATAAATAAAATATTTCACGTACCACATCTCACAGTATTCTGCCTCGAATAAAAATATATATAAAAATCCAGCTTATCCATGTTTTATCCATAAGTCATGTTCAAGATTCTTTGCCGCTAAATTTTAACCTTATGGTCGCATAAATAAAAAGTTTAATAAATCTTTGACTAGTTTAGGTTTAAAGAAGTTATTAAAACATACATGTCACTTACATGAGAAAAAAATTGTTATATTAAAAACATAAAAAGTAAAATATTTCACGCCACCATCATACGGAATTATTGCATTAGAGTCCATATGCCAAAAAACTACGCAGGCGTATTCGGAACAGGTCCACTGCTTTAATAAAACACTATTTTGACCGGATTGAAGTTATGTATTATTATAAATTTACAACTATTTAACATAACTGAACTGACTGAACCGTCACCGTGACCACGCACGCTGTAAAGCACGCGAAACGTCGGATAAATTTAAAATTATGTTAAATAGTTGTAAATTTATAATAATACATAACTTCAATCCGGTCAAAATAGTGTTTTATTAAATGAATAAAAGTTATGTTAATCAAAGACAATACTAGGTCCACTGCTACTATTTCACGTATCTCAGGAGGCAAGCTGGTGTTTCTGTTCAATGTTCGTGGCGGCGTATTTAAAAAACTTAGATGAATTACAAAAAATGGGCGCCACAGGTCGCGTTATCTTATGTTATTTGTCATATCAAGTAGCTCGTTTCTTCTTGCCGCCTCAAAAGGCGCCGCACAGTAGCTTACGAGTATGGGAATGCTTAACACTGTCACATTTCCTAATCGGAATATTTAGACTTTCAAGTCATTACAGTTATCTGATTACCGAATTTGTTGAGTATTTGTGATGTTATCGTTTTCTTAAAACTTTTACATTCGTATATACCTACTACAGTAAAGGATGTTTGCAATTAAAATTGTTTTGCTTGCTAAAGCTCTACACGGTTTCAATAATAGAACTCCCTACAAATCGCTAGGGAATTCACTTCCCGTCTCTTCATATTTAATCTGAGGTGCGCTTACGCAGGCCCGCGCCATGGATGTCGAGTCTGTCGCGGGGACTGTGGGGCTGGGTCTACACTCAAAGCCCTCTGCTGTTCAGACACTTCCTGTCCTTAGGTTAGCTCCCTCTCTATCTTCCTTTCAATCTCTACTGTACAAGCATTACCTGTCCACGTCATATCCCTAACTTTTGTACATAGGAAATTATCGTGATTCGTGTGTCCTTTTTCATTGTCTAGATAAGTTATAATAGCTTCCTTTCAGTGATTGCCTGGAAGAGAGCGCTCGAAGCGATAAGGTCGCTAATTACACTAATTCTTGTATGAAATCCGAAACGGCTTGACCGATGTTTATAAAATATGTGTATATTCGGTAGACCTGCGCTGAGGGTAAGTTTTTGTAGGTACCCCTAACTAAGAGAGACAGTAGAGACACACCAATATTTATTTTTTTCGGATATTTTTTTTACTTTTGTATTAAAAGTACATATTATTCTAGTCAATAGGCGTATATCGTTTGCCTCCTGTTCTATATAAAAAATACATATAATGTTTCACCCTTCTACCACCAACCATTTTAACAGCAATATTAGTTAACATTTTTTATATGGCAAAAAAGCTTTCCGGGTCAGATAGTATATAAATAAATAATATTTGGTCTGTTTTACATTAATCCCTTGCGTGTAAAGGCGTCGAATCAATTAGTCGATGACCATTTTGCATATAAATTGTCTTCAATATTTATTTGTATAACGCCTAATCGCTATAGCGGCACGGCTAAACAAACATAATTAATGGTGTTAATATTATCGCTTTAATCATATACGGTTGCTTCATTTGCATGTAAAATCCACAAACTTGTTTGAATGGGATGGCTAATTTACGGGTTAATAAGCATATTATGTACCTGTGTCAATATGGCATTCATTTAATTAAAAAGATTCCTGACACATCAATATTATGGTAGTATCCTTTAGCTTATTTTTTGCCTGTTAAGAAAAATCCGGTGTCGTTTTAAAATAAAACCTCGTTCGTTTATTTCTCTTTTCTGCACCTCTGAAGAGTTTGTCACGAATATGGGCTCCCACACAAAACTGCGATGCGATGCGAATTCGCATCGCAGAAACTTGCGATGCGAATTTCTGCGATACGATTTAGTGCGACAAATCGTTTGGTAGGGCGACCATTCCTTCGTAGTCAGCCGTACTGGACGTGTTCTAAGGAAGCGTAAGATGGATCGCAAAAAGAATATTGCACTGCTGTTATTGTTAAATAGATATAAAAGAAAAAGAAGATTCTGGGTTCATCCATTTATTACGATTATAAACTCTGATGCAAACTTTCACAGACGCTCTTCCACACATCTTGCTCAATAAATTTATTTTTATAATGTTCATCACTTGTGTCCCAAAAGACGGGACGCTCCTCAATTAAAAATATTAAAAAATCCATATCATATTCCGCAATTTTTTATAAACAAAGAAGGCGGTGGAGGCGCCGCGCGTCTTTCTCTAAAGCTGTCTCAGAGCGGACTAAAATGGCGTCACCAAGGATGACGTAATATCGCAAGAATGTGCGATGCGAAGCAGATCGGAACTTCTTGCGGTGCGTTCGTGCGAATTCGCAGATATTTGCGATGCGATGCGAATTCGCAGTTTTGTGTGGGAGCCCTAAATCGTCTGTTTAAAGTGTATCAATTGGATTTGTGTATAATTTTTTTTATAAACGCAAGTCTTACCACGATTTTTCTAACGCTCGATACAATGTTTAAGATGTTTTAATGTTTTTTTACATGTGTCTCAGTCCTCACACTTTAATTTTGTTGTTACATAATATATCTGGCTATTTTTTGTGGAATTTTGAAACTTTCAAAAATACATGAATGTATTCATGAAATTCATGTATTTTGAAAGTACTCGCGTAATGTAAGGGTAGTATATAAATAAATTATATTTATAAGCCTACGATTTACCTTCAGTGCATGACAGAAGTTGATTTTCTTTTGTTTTATGTTTTGCTACACCGCAAGTTTTAATAGCGCACATGATAAATCAATTCGGCCGGGGTTCGAAGTCACGACCGTGCGAATAGCCTAGCTCTGTCCTAATGTTTCATTAGTTGTAATGCCTTTAACAAAGTAATACTGTCTTTTACATGTACGTTGTTTCCTTAAAGTTATCTAAATATTGTCCAGTGACCCGCGGTTATTGGGCCGTAATTTTATTCTTTCAAATACCTACTATAAAAATGATTATTCTATTTGAACCAAGTTTTATTAAATAATATAGGTAGTACTGCTTCATTTTCCCGTTGAGGCCCGGTAAAATGCAAGAGCGACCCAGAGCCTGTAACGTGGCTTTGTAAGAACTACTCGAGGTGGTTTTAGTGGGTATTGCACACCAGGTCTCTGAATAGCAGATTCAGGTGTGGGTCGAGTACCACACACCCCTGCAACTTTCGGGGGCAGGGAATGCGCGAATGTATTTCCATATCGGATAATAAAATAAACTGCTACTTCATTTATATTGTATACAAATTGTTAAACATTATTTTCATTAGAAATTAATACGGGTTAGTAAATTATAACATGATACATGTTGTAAACGTTCCAAGATGAATATCAAATGTCTATAAATTTTAATTATGTAAAATTATACGTATAACAAGACACGTCCGCCATATAATGGGCCTAAATTCGTGGAATTGTTTTAGTAGCGTGTACGAAGTACGTAGATTAGATTTATTAAACGTATTCCTAAAATTTAAATTATAATATTTTAATTGAAGTCTTTGTATTAAATAAGCTCTCCTCAAAAAGTAGGTAAAGTAAATCGTCATTATTTGGAATAATGTTTCAAAGAATCTGTAATTTACAGTTTTTAACTAAACCACCAAGCTTTGGTGATATTGCCAGGAAAGAACCGAATAGTCTCGTCAAGCTGGTAGGTATAGAGGAGCAGGAGAATTCGGGGTCGAACGCCTACCAGTTGGTTTGACCAAATTCAAACAATTATGGGTCTCAAGTTCTGGGATAGAGTCGTGTGTCGACGTATGGGTTAGGGATTTCCAAAACAGGCATGACCTTCAGTAATGAAGACTACGACGAAGAGAAAAACTAAAGCACCAAGCTAATCTATAGCAGTAAAAAAAATCGCCATTTAATGTTTTAAATTTCATCTAATACTAAGCCGCCATATCTATAGTATTGGTTCATATAAATCATCAAGATTCTTTTAAAGATGTATCACTTAATATTTTTTCTTGGAACTTCAGGTTATGCGATAGTCTCGCATCTCATTTCGAGAACTAACTGCTTTGACAGCTCTCGAAACTAGATGTAATTTATATGTTCTAGTACGAACTAAATACAATAATGAAAGTTGGTTTAATTCGGTACGAATTTGTTATAGCGACATCTATTGGCAAAACGAAGTATTATGAAAGCATTGTCTTTATTTTTTTATATTTAACTTCTACTAACATGTATAATTTTAATATAGTATAAATCTGTACTCTGTACTGTAGATTTTGGTAAGCGAATTTGCATTAACTTTGAAGTTCCAAGAAACTGCCACTTTTTCTCTTTCTTTAAACTGGTTCCCATGATTTGTGGACAGGTGGCGGCGTCCTTTGATAATGCCGCTACACGTGCTGATCTTAGTTTTTGTTATAGACTTTTGTTATTCAATACGAAAGATCGAATAGCTTTTTGTTAACCGCATAGATCGGATTCTATTTTAATAGACAAAGATATTGGATTTCTTTACTCTATAGTCTTATCTACTAGGTACTTCCAAGGTACGTGGAGGTATAATCTACAGAATCCATACCTTTATGTTACATAAACAAATGTACGGAAGGTTCTTTCATAAATTGCGTCAGAAAATATATAAAACTAATATACGATTTTTTCTTATTCGCAGGTCTAACAGCTGAGCTGTATTACGTAAGAGATGGTCAAATCAACTCCTACGCACTTAACTTCGTTGTTCCCGTTCCTGCTAATATTGGAGAGTTGCATTTTTCGTGGCAGAGCTTAACAAGACGACCGGTAAGGGTTTTTGTTATACTTAAGTTTCTTTATAACCGCACCGAGTGAGTTTGACTACCGATATGTAGAACATTACCTCACTTTCTTCTTACAAAAATAATAAGAAAAGTATATATTAATATAGCATAAATACTTATAGGTAATGATTATGTCCCGATAGAATGCGAAAGAGACCCCGAGATCCTTTTGTGACTGGGCAGAGCTTACCCGGTACCCTGAGTAGCAGAGTGCCAGGAGTGAGTTCTATATTATACCCTTGTTGCTTATAGTCTGGGGGTGCGTAAATGAATTATATACATTGTCTGCGTAATATTGACATCGTATGTAATGTAGTGTTATTATCAAATTGCCCTAAAATAGGAACTTGAATAAAACAATTCATTTAATGGTCACAAAATTGTGTTGATTGAATAATAATCAATCAATCAGAAGGATCACCTATTTGCAATTATTTGTCTAGGGTTATTTTTCACTAGGGGTATGGGGGTATTTCTTTAGGTGACAAAACATGCTGGACTATGGCATGGAGAACACACCATTTTTATATAGTACCGATACTTCTATATGCCAAGTATAAATGAAACTGACGAGAGAGTCCTCAGGCTCTATTGAGTTACGAAACTTCAAAACAAATAGAATTCTAAACATGCCCTTTTGTTAACAAGAAAACGATTTCGAACCATTTGGTCGCAGTAAAACAGTTTCTCTGTATCGCTGAAAACAATTAATGAGTGTCATTGACTTATGTACTATAAAAGCTTTTACAGTAGTGATTAGTTGTGAACTATACTTAGATACGTTAGAAGAAATGATTAAGCGAGTTTAATCCGTAATGCTTTTTTAACATTTTGTCATTATCCGACTTAAATGACAACAATTCGATAGGGTATTTATAAAAACAGTTGATTTGGCAGTCTCACTAAACGATGAGTTATAGTAATAAATAACGTTTATTTAAAAAGTGCTTAATAGCAAAGATAAAATATCCTGCTTTGGAACTTCTTACCTCTTGATATCAGATAAGCTGTCTTTAAATTTATTTAGGAATCTTCTTTTTGAACTCTTCTGCCTCGTAATTAGCGACATATATTAATTATGACTCATTAACCCTAAGATTAGCTTTTATATTTTTAATACTAATTTCATTAGGTTTCTAGTTAGTATATTTCTAATGTTACTATTTATGCACTTCTTGTACATTACCCCCAGTTGGTGTTTTTTTTTTCATACTAGAGTTGCCTAGGAGAAATCGCTTGTTAGCGATAAGGCCGGCATACATAACCAGTTTCTTATATATGTATGAGACAAAAACAATTACGATCCCTTCAATATCAGTGTCAGGTGGCAATGGGCGTAGCTTTTCTCCGTGCATTATTAATTGTAAATGCTGGTCCATATTAATATCTCGTCTATCTAGTTGATAAAAGGGCCTGGGACTAGTGCTAGACAGGCTACTTCTAATTAATTTGCGATATTTGTTTTAAAATAAGTGTTGTCTGATGATTTGCTATTTTAAAAGAGTACCGAGAGTTTTTTTCGCCGGCTTTTTCTCTCGGCCTACACCCTCTGTCTTCTTTGCCGATGAGTAGGGACGCCTACAAATTCAAATTTAATGACGTGGAATAAGTCATACATGTATCTTATGTTCTTTAATAACATATTTTTTTTTATATGTCCTATATCCCAGGTGGGGTAGAAGGGTGGGCACAATGTTTCGCTATTACCATATCTCTAGAAGATATTATTTAACTTGTGTGTATACAAGTTATAAGTTTAAACCTATTTTATCATCCTGTCTATAAAAACCTCATTAATATTTTGAATAAACCTATGATGTAATCGTTTGAGAAGTTTGTATATATTAGCGATAATCGAACAATGGATTGGTTGTGACTGTTACGGGTTCGTATGCAAATTAATCGGATGTTTAAAAAGCAGGTAGCCATTTAGAAATATTTTGACTACGCTATTTAGAGATAATGATTTCATAGACAATATAAGAATATAAATACGTGATTTTGCATAGACAATATAAGAATTACTAACATCTATTATTGAATGAAATTACGATATACTAAACTGACGTTATAGCATTTCCTATGGTGATGTCGCCTTTCTGTCTCTTGCTATACTTAATCAAATCGTATTACTAAAGCGCTTTAATCGCTTTTGGATTGAATGGAAAACAGGGTTTAATCGGGCAGGAAGCTCACCTGATGTTAAGTGATACCACTGCTCAACGCCAGAGGGCTCGCGAGTGCTTTGCTTGCTTGCTTTTATGAATCGCTATCAATTGAAGGATCCTAAGTCGATTTGGTTCGGAAACTCAGTAACGCTCAGTCTGTGGAACTACTGCAGGTATTAATCCGAACAACTCCTCAACACTCCATGGTAAATGCAGTAGAAGATGCGCACATCTCTACGCAAAGCTAAGGGAACGTTTTTTTTATAATTATTACCTAGTCTACTAAAGGGAGACATATTTACTCTTATGTCTAGTGTTGCCCAAATGCAAGACCAAGACGAGACTTAGACCAGTCTTGGTATTGGTCTTGCGTCAATACACCTGGTCTTGGTCTTGGTATTGCGCTCTCAGTCTTGGTATTGGTCTTGGTCTTGCAGCAAGAGTCTTGCAAGTCTCGCGAGACTTTCAAATACCTATTAGCCTATTGCTATTTATTGAACAAGTTAGTTTAGATTATGGTTCGTGCTGTAAGACGTATGTAGTTGACTCTGTAACTACATACGTCTCACAGCGCGAATCATATTTTAATCAACAATCTAGCACTAGCCTGCAAATTGCAAAAAAAAATTGAGTTTGGCGGGCTATCCTAAATTCTATGCTTCCTATGCGGCCAAAATAAGGAAGTGCGTGTGTGTTGAGATTAGCAGATTTCATTACAGTGTGCGTAGGCACATTTTTTAGGCAATTTGTCGTACCTACTCGTGACTGGCGCGCTTTGCTACGTAGGTACAGTCGTTAAAGTATGTGTAAGTAAGAAACGATGTAGGTACCTACTACAACAAAATTGTATTCCTTAGAAAAATAATCGTCGTACCTACACGACGATTATTTTTATTTATTTAGTAAATCATCGCTGAAGACAATAGTCGCTACTAGAGTAGGTACGATAGAAGTTGAGAAATCGACACTGCAAATCTCGATTTTTGGAATAGTACGAGATCCCGCTGCAGGATTGGTGTGCTCATCGACTATTTGTTTAAAACCAAATTTTTATGTTTATTTATAATTAAGAGAATATATATTTACTAGGGTGCCTATCAAAATTTGGCCGCCATTATTTTTAATTAAATTATTTTTAATTGATTTTTGGTAAAAAGCTTCGTTCATTTATTTTTAAAATAAAATAACGTCTACATCACGGTAATTAATATGAAGATTCTAAAAAATCACGGGTGCCGTTGCGCACCTGGCCGCACCTCTTTGCAGCCAGGTGTAAACAGGTATGATTTCGATAAATTTATACGTTTATAACCTATTTTTATTAATTATATGTCAAATTGAAGCTAATTTTTTTCTATTAATTATCATATAAAGTTGCTTAATTAAATCTGGCCGCAAATAAGGGCTACTGGCTGTTAAAGATAATAAATATTTAAGGTAGAGTGAAAGAGAGTTAGCGCGTAACATCATTTGTCAGACGAGGACAGCGATTGTCGGCTGTGCGATGCTTTTAAGCAATTGTGCATGCGTCGAACGTTAGTGTTCTCAACCACCGGGGAGTAATAGAGACGACTTATAATAAATACTCCAAAAAATATGTAATTTTTTTCAAAATGACAAATTTAAAAATTGCAACAAAAAATTAATATTGATTTGATATATCGACGGTCTATTTTGGTAGGGTTTGCGCAGAAAAATAAAATTAAGTAAACACAACGTTTATCAACTTTTTAATAACTAGGTATCCACGATAGAATATTTTTTCTACTAATTTCCTAAGTACTCTGTCTAAATATATTTTTCAATAATTTGTTGTGTGTAATTGAATGGTAAACTCTAAATCTTACTTGATAGCTTTTTTTTTAAATAAACTTATGAAAAGCACTGACATGGCATAAACACTTTTCAATTATGCTGCTCACATTTTAGTAACTAGGTATATCACTCACTATCTATCATTTACCGATATTAACAATGATTATTTCGAAATCAAAATATTCGCAATTCAATAGATGCAATACCTACTTAGTTATTAATTATCATCTCGCCCGACAGCTTTAAACGTTGTAGTGTTCGAATTCGAGCCAGTGTGAGAATGTATTTAATTACAAGATACTCAGAGCATTCAATTTATACCTACCTACTGCTGAGACATCTTCAAGGTCATTTAATTTTATCCTCCTGTACCAACCCTACCAAAATAGGTAACAATTTTGTGTGCCTCTGTCCGGACTCTTTGTCGGCGAATGCGGCGCTCAAACAGTGTCAAATGCTGTGATACACTTGTTGCAAAACGCGGCGTCTTTGTCGGTAAATTATCAAATAAGTAGGTATATAATACACCGACCGACCAACAGTTTATTTGCAGAACGTCACATTTTCCCAATCAACCTTGAACCTTAATTCTTTAGCGATAAAGTTGAAAATCTGTTGCTAAAATTTGACAGATTGTAGTAGCTTGATGTGCTGTGTGTCTGTAATAATATTGGCTGCCGTAGAAACTGTTACTAGACCTACTCGACTCGCTTTTAGTTTTAAATTTTGCTAAATAGAAGAATAATATAAACTTTGAACCATAAGTAGGTACCTACATAATTTTTATATAATTTTGTTGGCTATAAATTTAAGCACATACCAACCTACGAGTACTAACGTTAGATCTGCACATTAGACATAAACAAGGATAATATATTATTATAGGTAGATACCTACAAGATATGAACTTTGCTAGAAAGTTATTCTAGGTAAATGTTGAAATATAATAAGTACTTACCTACCTAATCAATACAATAAATACCTTTCAGGGTTCTTTCAG